TACTAAATGGGGGCAAGAGTCCTGGTGATAAAGGACACAAAGAAGGCAGAGATAGTGAATGTCTTTGTTTGCAAGACCAGCCCTCAGGAATGCCAGATCCTGGAGATCAGGCAGAAAGTCTGGAGAAAGAAAGACTTTCCATTATGAGACAAGGATTGAGCTGGAGATCTCTTGAGCAAACTGGCCCTACCCAAGCTCATGGGTCCACAATTTCTGAAGGAGCTGGCTGATGTAATTATTAGACCATTCTCAATCAATTTTGAAAGGTACTGGCAAACTGACAGGAGAGATGGCTGAGGATTGGGAGAAAGCAAATGTCACACTTGTCACCAAAAAAAAAAAAAACAAAAAAAAAACCAAATAAGCAAAAGAAACAAGAAGGAGAATCCAGAAAACTATCAGCTAATCTCACTTCAAACTTTGGGAGGGTTGTAGCACAGCTCATCTTGGATGTCATCTTCAAGTATGTGAAGGATAAAAAGGTGATCAGGAGCAGTTAGTATGGATTCCCAAAGGGGAAAAAAAGCTTAACGAACCTGATAGACTTCCGTGATGGAATACCTGGCTTAGTGGATGAAGTGAGAGCAGTGGATATTGTCTACCTTAATTTCAATAAGGCTACTGAGCCTGACTCTGATAACATCCTCATAGACAAGCTAAGGAAGCCTGCAAGAGAGGTAGAAACAGTGAGGTGTACTGAGAATGGGCTGAAGGCAGAGTTCAGTGGGGTGTGATCTGTATGGAGTCTAGCTGTAGGCCTAGACAGACTGGAGAGATGAGCAGAGACCTCATGACATTCATCAAAGGCAAGTGGAGCATCCTACATGTAGCAAGGAATAACTCCATGCACCRGTACAGAGAACCTCTGGGAGTTTTGCTTTTCAACAAGCCAACCATAAGCCAACAATGTGCCCTTGTGGTCAAGAGGCAGATGGTATCCTGGGCTGCCTTAAGTCAACTATTCAACCAGTCAGATTAATAGAGTCAGATTAATCCTCAGTCCTGTGGTGGTCACATCTGGAGTACTCTAATGGCCAGTTCTGGGCTCCTCAATACAAGAGAGTCATGAATTAATGCACAAGGGCTACCAAGAAGWTTAGGGGACTGAAGCATCTCTCACATAAGGAGAGGCTGAGAAAGCTGGGACTATTCTGTCTGGAGAAGAGAAGATTGAGGGGGAACTTATCAATGTGTATAAGCATCTTACTGGAAGGCATAAAAAGGGTGAGGCCTAAGTCTCCTCAGTGGTGCCAAGTGGTAGAAGGAGAGTGGTGGAGGCCTAGATGTTCTCAGAAGGACCCTTTCAACCTCAACTGTTCTGTGATTAACAATGAAAAATATTTCACTTTACTGTCTACATTTTAGATAGACAGTAGATAGAGATAGAGATAAAACTTTGATTTAGGCATCCCGTAATAAAAGCCTTCTTTATTTATTTCTTTACTATGTTAGGAATCATGAATTTCCTTATGCATTGAGGAAGTTGAATGGGAGCTATTTCGGTTATACTATGTGATATGATGYAACTTCAATGCAACTCATCTGCAGCAATCACACATATTGTTGCAGAAATGTAAAGAAACAGAAATACATTTTTGTTTCCTTGAATTTGTGCTTGAACTCTAAGCATGCATATGGTTCTGTGGCAAAAGGCACAAAATAATTTTTATATTAAATACATGGGATATGATATCGTGTGAAAGTAACCTTTATATGGATATTGAATTCCCATTTCTTTTCCCTTGTAGGATTGATTACATAGTTAGCTATAGAATTTTATGTGGCTGCAAAATAAACACTGTAGATGAGACTTCATACAGTCTGGGAAGAAACTTTCTGAAYCCATCCTTCCCCTGCTATATAGAAGGAAAATTTTAGGGAATATGAAGCTGGTCATTGTGTTGGAGGAAGTGGTCTTAGGAAAATAAAGAGGGTTTTAAACACATCCATTCCCCTACATATTTTCTGGCTTTGCAATTGATTTTCTGTGTGATTCCAAACAAACGATTTAGTTATATCTATATCATAATGTAGCATCCTGCAGAAACACCCACACTGACACTGACCAAATTTTGAGGATTTTTTTCCCATTTTGCTGAGAATTTAACTTCTTAAATGTTGAGACAAGTCACATAGATCATATGGGATTGTGTTAATAGGCTTTTATTTTTTTCATTTCAGGTAGAATTGAAGAGCTTTTGTTTGTTTGTTTGTTCTTTTTATTTTAAGAAATAAAAAAAAAAGCAAAAGCAAATGCCTTAATAGGAATGGAGGAATCTGCAAAGGACAATTCTTTTTATTTCTGATTTTTGTCATCTTTAAGTAGAGCAGAAATAAGTCRCTGAAAAGCTGAAAACATGCTCTTTTTATGTTTATTTTTTCATATGCCTTTATTGTCTATATGTGCCTGACACTATGAATATGTTAGCAAAGAATATAAACTGAATGTAGCATGGCTGTTTCAAAGGCTCTATAAAAATGAATTTGATAAGTGCTTTGGGGAACATGAGGTTGAGTGGTTGACCATCACCTTGCATGTAATTGGATGTCTTGCACATTCTGTGCATCTGCTTGAAGGGCCTTAGGAAGATGGGGACAGAAAGGGAAGGAGGAAACTGTGCCTAAAGCTAGTGGGAGGGGGCCATGCAATAGAAACAAAGCATGTCTGCTGCTGCATCAAGTCTTCTCTGCTGAAAAATATTGTAAATTTACCCTCCTATATTCCTAGGTTTTCATGTGAACAAAAGTCTGTGGCTTAAATACTCAGCAGAAAGTGAAGGCAGCAGTTCTGTCAGCAGCAGCCTTTTGAAACAAGATTTAATATGAAATGAATCCTTCTGTGCTCCCACCATCACTATCCCTGTTCTGCTACTTTTAGGCCCTTTGATAAAATTTTCTTTTCATTTTTTAAAAAGTGTGTATTAGCGTGATTGTGCTCTGAGGTTTTTGTTTCTTKCAGGGAGTGACTCTCTTCATGCTTGTCCGTCAGCTCCGTGTCTCATCCTGCACCTTTCCTCCTGAGCGGACCTCTCTGATCTTCTGGTGGAAGCAAGTATCTTGCAGTTACATTTCGCAATGATTGCAGAGACGGTGCAATAAACCGCAGCAGAACTAGATCTGTTGATGACAGAGCAATGTGAAAAATGCTCACAACACAGTGAGCTCAGTGAAGGTGATATTCAGAAGTAAAATGCCTTTGAAAAGGGTACAGAGGTGGGCTGAGAGATTCAGAGGTTGAAGGATGTTCAGATTTTGCTAAAAGCAGCAGTAGCGCTGGTGTTTTGCTCTTTGCTCTGCCTTCTTACCTTATTTATTTATTTATTTACTTATTTACATATTTTGCTATATATTAGGCATACAGACATTTTAAAATTAACTAAGATCCTCTAATTGGTTTCTTTTTGGATGAAAGATGCAAGACTCAGCTACTAGGTTTGAGCAGGAATAGCTTATTCAAGGACAGATCCCTGGCTGAAAATTCCAGGCATTTTTTTTAGGTTGAAATTGTAGTTCTAGCAGGAAATAATGTATCTACATATCTATATGTTTCTATACTATTAGAGATACATAAGAACAACCACTGTGTGAGCACTGAAGGTGCTCACACTCGGTAGTCTTGCAGGTAGATTTTATGCAAGTTGAATTTTTGTGAGATGAATTTTAACTGATACATTATTGCTATTTAGAAGACTATCTACCCTCAAAAATAAAATTGTGAAAAATGGTCTGCAAAGGAGTAGACTGATGTTTATGTAAAAGTAACAAATCCTCAGGACCAAATTTCTCTGAAGTTTAGGACTATTCTGATTCTGTTTCTAATTGTTGCATTCTGGTTTCATTAAGYACCAAGGACATTATTCATGTTTAATATTTCTTAAATAGCTACCACAATCCCTTTCTGAAGAAGTTACCTCTAAGAAGGTTTTTACATATAATTAGGGGTGTCCATATAACCTGTACAGACTTGCAGAATGGTAGAAGTGTTTCACATGTGATAATTACAGAGTCCACAGGACAACCTGGAATAGTTCATCCAGCATACCTCACGGGTTTGTAACTAGATGCCTTATTTTATTAGCCAAATATAGAATATTATTATCCTTCTGAATTACCATTCCTCTTTATTATTTGGCAGCCTTAATTTCATTAAATCTTAAAAAAAAAAAACCTCTCTGCAAACTCTGCTAAAGTAACACAATTGTCTGAGAAAAGAAGCAAAAGTATGTGAGGGTTAAATGTAACTTTTTTCTCGTATGCGTCATTCTTCTGCCTTAGAATTCTTTAATAAATACTGAGCAGTGGAGAAGTGAAAGTATTTTTAATTTTGGTGCCTTGTATATTTACACAGAGATTACAACAAACTTCTACACTTTATCTAGATTTTAATAGGTCAGTGTGAACATATGAAGTGTATTAAGGTGGACTGCCTAACTTATTAAACTTACGTGGATTTGTCAGAAGCCCTTAGCAGTTGTATGCAATCGGGGCTGGAAAACCATGCACGATTGAGGTCATGCTTCCAGCCAGTTTGTAAGATGATCCCTCTGCACCGAGCCATCAGCCATCCTTAGCATAGGGGCGCACTCATACACGCATTCCTGTCAAGTCATCTCGTGAAAGGCTGCTTGCTTCCAGCTTGGCTTGAATGTGCAACCTTAATAAAACTCACTGAAGTCTGAGAGAAAATAGCAGTTCTGCAGCAGATAGTGTAGGGGAAAGAGACTGGGATATGCATATGCAGCTGACTAAAGCAGGCTACATGCTGGACTGTAACAGAAAGGAAACAATAAATCTTAACTACTATGCAATGAATAGTCCCAATTTTAACTAAAGGAGGCTATCTTAATATTAAAATTAAAAATATAACCATTTCTCCAAGCTTGATAACTAAAGTTCAGCTCTTCAGTCCTTTTTCCAAAGACTTTAAAGGAAATTAAGAACAAATTGAAAGAGGAAGAAAAGAAGTTTTTCTAAACTTAGGAAAGGAAAGTAATAATAACATGACAATTTTGCTTTCCTTTGCTTTCTTGGTTGCTCTTCTGGCTCACATAGGCTGTAGTAATCAGCGTCGGGGTCCAGAAGCCAGTGGGAGAAGATATAACCGGATCCAGCATGGTCAGTGCACCTATACTTTCATTCTGCCAGAACAGGACGGGAACTGTCGTGAAAGCACGACAGACCAGTACAACACAAATGCTCTTCAGAGAGATGCTCCTCACGTGGAACAGGATTTCTCTTCCCAGAAACTGCAACATTTGGAACATGTGATGGAAAACTACACTCAGTGGCTCCAAAAAGTAAGTGTTTCTTTTTCCAGTCCTCATTAAATGGATTTTTTTTTTTTGTGGTATTGCTTATGCTGTTCATAGTTTTCATGTTTTTATGAGAACTGGGATAGTAAGGATTTCTCTAGTTCATAACTGTGCAGGAAGAGGAATCTTACAGACAGAGTGCACCCCTTGTACTGAGATTCTTCTCTTGGGAGCAGAATTTTCTTCACATTACTGAAAGACACAATTCTGTAAAGTTTTTTCTCAAGAGACCACGGATGCWTTGTGAGCCAGAGTATACAAATATCCATCTGAGACTCTAATGATAGAAAGCTTTACTAGCTAGTCTTATAAACTCCATTTATAGTTCAGAGTTTCAGATTATATCTCATGCAGGATACCTGCTACTTGGACAGCAAAAAGTGCATTTAAAAAATCCACACTTTTTAAGGCACTGTACTGAGAATATTATTATGCCTCCATAAATAGATCCTGTAAAGCCTATTCTATCCAGTTAATCACTGGAAAGACAGAGAAAATTTTATAAGAATTCATATTCCTGAATCATCAATGTATTTTTTTTTAATGTGTGGCTTATACTGGACTTGAAAATAATGTTACAGCAACTTAGCAAAAATATATTTTTAAGAATTTGTGCTATAGTTGTAAACCTCTACTGAACTTATCTTTTTTTTTTCCAATGTATGATCTGCAGTTTAGCCCTTAAAAGACTTAAATATGTGAATAACTTAGATAAATAGTCCCATTCACATTAAAAAGGCTCAYTTTTACTCACTTGAGGAAAATTACTTACCTCACAGGAGCTTTTCTTTGGCTTGATATTGAGAATGGTTTGAGATTGGTGAGAACTGAAAATGCACAAGCAGTCTTTATGATTGTAATATTCTTATTCTCACATTAACATTATGACCCAGCAAAACAGAACACTGAGTAACTGGTGATGCAACTTATCATAGAAGATGGTACAAGTGTCCTACTGTATGTACCTATTCAAGAACAAAATTTGGCTATAGCATAAGCTCATACATGAGTAAAAATGCTAGCAAAGACCACTAAATTTCATATTAGCATGTTTATTGCTACCTATTTCATTTACAATTTTCATTTCCTCCAGATGGTATAGAAGACAGAAATATGTTAAAAATCATAAACAGTCATCCCTACCCTTCTAACCATACTAAAGCATTTAGAGAGAATTTCCTGATATCCCAGTAAATTAACTGTTCTCTTTGCATACCTAGCCCTAGCAAGAGAGACAGGACTGTTTCCAATATATATGTAACTATAAACCAAAATATAATGGAACATTTCATTTTCAGACTATTTTCCTCAGTTTTTAATATTGTGATCTGCTTTGGGGAATATAAGACTGGGACTGAGGGGACATCTTTTGTAGAGGAAAGCATTTCTTAAGAAATAATTTTATTTTACCTTGGGATTTTAAGGCAAGGACTGAGAAGAGGGAAATTGCTATCTGTGTTTCTGCACACATGATTTTACTCGAGCAAATTGCCTGCTGATTCATGCTTAGGAGACTCCACTTATTCTGTGTTTGTCCACTAGAGACTGAGCTAGGATCACTGTTCCACCACAAGCAGAACAGCAAGAAAAATGAGTCTCTAGAGTGTGAATGTCTGAGCTAGGGTTAGTCCTCTCACGCTTCAAGGGGGAAGGGATTAAACAGGTAGGAAGCCCCAGGAAAGGCTTCCCTCTCCGCGGGTGGGTCAGTTCTGCAGGAGCATGAGAGAGGCTGTGGAGGCGGTGGCCGCCYRCGCTGCCCCCGGCCCTCTGCACGCGCTGCGCATACAGAGCCCCTCTGTGCACGTCTGCCCGTGTGTCACTGCTGCTCCKAGGGAAAGGAGCCGTCACTCTGCGAGGCAGAGCGCGGCTCCTCAGGAATAAGGGAGCCAAAGGCCGCCCCATTAGAGCACCTCRGAATGTAGCATTCGCTTTGTGGCCGTTCCCCAGCATTATGGCCGTAACTCATTCACTTTCAGCAGCAGTGTAATGCTTAAGTGCCATGAATATGTTGTGTACCCATCTCACATCTCATCTGGCACTGTTTTCCCTCCGGGCTTTTAATGCAACCCCAAGCAACATTTCACAATGCACCTGCCATGAAGAAAATAAAAGGATTGTTAATGATCATAGCTCTATAATCAAAAGTAGATGGCTGTAGTAAGAAATCCTGCTTATATTTCAGATTCTGAAATATATTGTAATTTATGCAGAATGAACATGTTTATTAGTCTATGTAGCATACATAACTTTCATTGTAATTGTACTCTGACATTGTTTGCCAGTGCCAGAGTCTCTTATTTCCTTAGTGCAAACACTAGCCTGCAATACAGGAAGAGTGTTTATTAAGAAAGCTTTTACAAAGTGTTAACAAAGAAATTGTGTAACATCTATAGTTAGATTTTTTTTCGTTGATTTCTAAATTGCCAGATTTCTACAAGCAAATTAGGTATTCGTTAAGAGGAAATTCTTTTACCCTCTGCAACAGAAGTGCTCCTTTGATGACCTACCAACTTGCTTTAGATAAAAATGCGCTTGCTTGGRGAGCTGATTACAGGCAATTAAGTCCAGCCTTGTCCAATAGTATTTACATATCTATAGTCAACGTTGCTGGGATTGGTTGGTGAAACAAGGACACAGCAAAATGCTCTGYGCAGAAACTGCTTGAAAGAAGATGACTTAGTAAACATTTTCAGAGATTTTCCTAGAACTGTTTATTTTAATGCCGGATAACTTTCCCCATTGTTTAAGCTTGGGTTTCATTTCTGCAATATGTTTATACTAATAGTTCAAAACAAACAGTTCATCACATTTTGTTGCTTGCTGTAACTGACTGGCACACGTGATCCTGTTTGGTATTTAATTGCAGTGGCTAAGAATTGCCAAAGAGGAGTTACATGAAATATTATCATCATGTCTTGCTTGGAAATATTCTGTTAGTAAACTACGTGTTGTTATGATAGTTGGTGGGCTCAGTATACCTTCAGAACGGCTACACATATGTGATTATGTCATCTATTAATCCTTCAGCCAGGGAGAGCTGTAAATTATAGCTGTAAGTAAGTGAGTTTGGCATCATCTGTTCAATCTTTTTGATCCTGACCTAAACAGAGTACCATAAAAGTTAAAAGTGAGTACTTGATAATGACATACTATTAGATGCTAAGATTGGTACATAGCCTTGACTGGAGAGTGAACCACAATTATTCTGGTCAGCCAGTAACCAAACTTACATTTTTTTTTTGTTTCTTTTCTCTGTAAATAGTGTAAATAGTGATTACACCAGTAATTCTTAAAACCGATTAAAGGAGCTTCAGCTCTCCTCACTTAGTTTGTGCTGTCACCAGCTTATAAAGGAAGAAGTAGACAATGCTGCAAATGATGGCATTTGAGAAGACTAGTACACATTTGCTGTCTGCTCTACAGTTAGCAAATCTCYACTCTTTTTACCAGCTGTGCCTAGCACTGCAATGAAATACTAATATGCTCATGCGCTCATAGTGGCCAGATTTGGCATTAGGCTGTATGTATTTTGTGGAAGAAGTTGAGAAAATTCTCTCTCTATGTTCCCTTGCTATGAAATTGTGTGAAAATGAGACTGTCTGATTCAAGGAAGACAAGATCTGAAAATATGTATAATATCCTCTGATGCATGTCTGTTAATGTAAGGATACAGGTGACCATAACAAAAAATGTAGTATTTAGTGGCATTAATAAACCAATATAATCTATTCAAAATATAACAAGAAAGAGCAAAAACTCTTTAAAAAAAGAATAAAAAATATATTTACGCCTTTGTTACCCTGGACATTTTTTTAATGTAATGTGAGAAAAAAACCCACACATTTGGGAAAGTGCAACAAAAAGATGTCCATGTTGAACTACTCTTCTACAAGTACAAACAACTTGTTAGATTTGGAATGTCTCCTTTTCTTTATATGTGTTATTAATAAAGCTTTCCAAGTTTGTTGTGCTAAGTTCATTTTCCAAGGGGGACCAGAGCTGATAGGAAACATTGAGAAAATGTCATCCAAGAATGACCAGTAGCCTGCTACTAGTGGTCCAGCTTGGACCTCTATTTCTTTCTAGTACCAGAGACTGTTATCTATTTGACATGCTCCTTTTTCTCTCTGGACCTGATGAACTCTCATATCCAAAGAMAAAACTTTTCCTAGGTTCTTGAAATGATCTTTGAAGAGTCAGTTCTCACAGASAAACAGTGCAACAAATGAAGCCTGATTTCTTGCTGCCTGGTTTCTTATCCCAATTTACTCTCCAGCAATTTACCGTATCTTCTCTTGTAACAGACTCCTCCAGCTTCTTCCTATTGTCTCACTTTCCTATCTTGGGTATGCCCGTGTTGCCCTCAGTTTCCCTCCAAACACCTTGTCTCTTATCTGAGCATGCATTAGCTTACAGTGTGGCTTCGTGCTCTGTTGTATGTGCTACTCAACGAGTAAGGAAGTAAAGGCTAACTAAGTTTATGGGGGAAAAAAAAAGAAAAAAGAACAGTTTCTAAGAAAATTCCCATGAGTCTAAAAATAAAACTCTCCATTTCCTCCAAAATATATTTTGACCAATAATATGCCTGCATTTTAAGTGCTTGATTAATAAAGTTCCTGAGGTCTTTAGGATATTATGAGGTACATTCAAGAAACAGGCAAGATTTTAGACATGGAACTGCTTGAAAGTTTGTAATTATTGGGGGATTATTTCTTTGGCAATTTGTTTTTAAGAAGCTGAAGAATCAGTAAAGCAGGCTCAAAGACAGTATTGCATGTTGCCACATTTTGGTAGCAAATAACTTAAAAATATTTCCCATGCTTTGACAGAAGGCTTTATCRTACTGTGCAGTAGAACCTGGATGTGTTTATTTTCAGTGATGACAGCTGTAATTAGGAACTTTCTGGTAACAATAAAATATTACATTTATTAGTCATCAGAACTGTCCAACCAACATACCCTATGGGAGATCTCATTTGGCACAC